AATGGAAGAAAAAGTATCCAATGTACACACTTATTATGAAATTAATTTATACCTCTTATATGAATGCTATAACCTAATAACAGCCTAAGAATATGGGGAGGGGGGAGAAAGAGGGGAAGGGGAATGGGTAGAAGGACAGAGATTGGAGGGATCACTTCTGTGGTTTATCTTACAAGTGTACAAGTGAACCTTTCTAAGAGTAGAATATGAATGTTGTCACACAATAACTAGGTAAATGTCATGAAGGCTATGTTAACCAGTTTGATGGAAATGTTTCAAATTGTATGTGAAAACACCACACTGTACCCCAGAAATGCATTAATGTACCTAGTTACTATTCAATAAAAAAAGAAAAAAAAGAAAAAAAAAAGCTTTGATTTAAACTTAAATAATTAAAAATGATTTCCTGAATACCCTGAAAAAATAAAATAAAATAAACTACTGGTCTTTTGACAGTCAAAAAAAAGAAAAGAATCTTTACCTACTTAGTGGAAACACTACATGGGATTCCAAGTACAGGAACTAATATTACGTCTCCATTTTTCTCTATTCTTATTTCCCACAATCCTTCTTTTTTTTGTTTGTTTGTTTAAAGAATCAAACACTTTTTATTGAAACTTCATATAGGTTATATGTGTATATTTGAATCATATTAATTATACATTTAAAATTTATACAATGTACTCAGGATATGTAGGTAATAAAATTATCAAACTATTTTACTCAGTCATTTTCCAGGGCTTTTCTCTATTATACTGAATGTTCTCACAATATTTTTTTTCAGCTCACAAACTTGTGCAGGGGAGAAGGGTAGAAAATGAAAAAGAAATAAAAATAAGTCTTTGCATCATTGGGCAACTACTTATATGACAGAGGAATATCATGTCCCCACTTAAAATACAAATATTAATCATGTAAAAAAGAAGTAAATGCAGAACTTAAGAAGAAGTGACTACTTTACTTACTCTGATACTGAGATCTGGAAATCCCTGTATGGCCTATGACTTTATCCAAGCCAATGGCCCTTTTCCTCTTATCATTTTTAAATGTTAAATACACATGGAGATAAATATAGCATAAAAAGAAATAAAATATGCCCACAATCATTCTTAACTTTAGAAACTGGGAAAATATCATGGCTACTGGACCCACCCACTAAGGGAGTGGCTTGTATATGTCACAAAGTCCACTGAGTGACATGAAGAGGGAGAGCTATAAACCCACAGGAGTTCTGGGCCCATCCCAGCTACTCAGTTTGAGGAATGTTGGTTCTACTGTACAGGATAAGGAATGACGAAGAACTACCCCCAATTTTCCGTCTTCAGCCCCAGCCTCCACCTCATCCTGCTCCCTCACAATTTCCCCCAAAACACCTTCCTGACCTTTGTCCTCAGCATTCCTGCCCTCAGCCTCCTCCCCTGAAACCTGCACCTCCTTCTATTTCTACTCACACCATTCCTACAACCCTGCCCAGGGCCTCTGCAAGCCCAACAATCCTCCTGTCCTTTCCCAACAGCCCTTCTGCCACCCGCATGTCCACCTGGCTCCTCTTTCCTGCTACTCGCCCCTTCCATAACCCTACCCCTTCTCGCAGCTCTCCCTCCTAGGCCTCCGGACTGGAGTCCCACCTCCTGACCAGCTAGTCACCTCATGCCAGACTTGCTAACTCCCACATCTCCTGCTGAAGAGATGGATTTCTTAAGACTGGGATAGTTTGGATCAGCCAGAAATACTCTGAACTGTGGACTTCCAACCTGATCTATCTGGCTCAAGGCAAGCAAGATGAAGCCAACCAACCCTCAGCCTGGGTAAGTTACAGGCCCTCTTGTCCAGCTCCTGGTTGTCTCACTCCTGTGTAGTTTTGCCTCCACCCCCTGTGTTAATCCTCCTCAGATGCCAGAGATACCTTTAACAATTTCCTTTTCTAGGCAGTCTGGTCCTTTCTTGTCCTGCCTCCTTAACCAGCCTGCATGAGGCCTTACATGAGTGACTGGTCTCTCCATGGAACATGGAACAGAGCAAATTTGGGACCATCAGTGGAAAACATAGAGGTGAGGAGTGGAAATGATCATAACTATTTTCAAGGAGGGCAGGGACTGGGGTCAAGTGAGTTGAGGGGGGAGCCCTGAACACTCACACAGGGGACAGGCCCTGCTACAGATAGATGGGGACTAAGGATGGTTTTTCTTTGCACTTTTTGGTCTCCTTCCTCCCAGACTCCATTTTTCTTCATCAAAGGACTCTACAACCATCCCAAGGACTCTCTGCCCTTCAGAAATGTCTTCTGTAACAAGTGGGGGAGCCCTCCATAGTGTTGTCATCAAAGCTCTGAGGGTTGAGCCCCTGACTTAGTCAGCTGTTCCTACCCCAATATGGGAAAGGAAGCTGAGTGTGGAAGGCAATAGCATGTCCACTTTCCACCCAGATGATAGCAGCAGACAACAGATGATGGATTTTCAAAAGTGCCTTCCTCAAAATGATATCCTTATTAAATAAAATTTCAAAATGATATCCTTATTAAATAAAATCAAATTCAAAGAGATATTTGAAAGGAATCGACATCTGATTATAATTAGTATGGAAATGCAAAGGTATAAGAATATCAAGACACCCAAGAGGAAATACTTTCTGCCAGATATCACAACTTAATACAAAAACAATTAATATACTGTAGTGTTCCTCTAGGCTAGAGAGATGATGTATGACATAGCCCACCTAAAGTACACAATGTCAGGGTGCTGAGCACACTCTCTGTTGAAGAGCTCAACTACAACTTGAACTTTACCTTAGAAGAGAAAACAATATAACCTAAGAATTTGTATCCTGATATGGATTTGAAATGAGAAATTATAAATAAAGTTACAATTTTAAAAATGATATAGAATTGAATTCAGAAACAGACTCACAAAAAGAGTAAACAGACTCAAACATGTGTGAAACACTTTCTCTGTGTTTCTCATGTGTCAAACACTTTAAGACAATGTAGCAGAGCACAACCATGGAGATAGAACTGTCTTTTCAATAAATTGGTGCTGGGTTAGTTGGATACTTGTTTGGAAAAATACATTAAGCTGCATTCCTATTTCACACTATGCTCAAAAATCAAGTTCAGGTGGAACACAGATGTATATCAGAAAGGGTAAAATGAAGAAATCTACAATTGCTGTGCCCATGTACAGATGAGGAGCACTTCGTGCGTGCTATGAACTATGAAATTTGATACCAGACTTGAAAAAGTGTAAAGAAACAATGTACAATCACTCAACACTTTTTTTTTTTTTTGCAACTTTTCTGTAAATCTAGGTTTATTTTTTTTATTTTTTTTTTCGAATTAGGAATTTGTTTTTTTATTAAATGATAGCTCTATACAACTCAACACTTTTTATATTGAATCTTTGAAGTGATAATTATTTGGGTATATTCAGTTGAAAAATCCATCATTAAAAGCAGTTTTTCCTGAGTCATTGTTCCCATTTAATCTGCATCTGCTTTACAATAGGAGAGGTTTCTGAGTCCTTCCAAATCTTTTTAAGGAAGTGGATTGATGAAGCTGAGGTCCATAGTATGACCCCGACCTCCTTGATCAGCGCCTTCTGGCCTGTCTTCTCCTGGTGTGTCTTGGGACATCTGTAGTAACTAGGCTGGATCCTGAGAAGACCAGGGGGGGCAAGTGGAACACCAGAAGGGAGCAAGGCAGAAAATAAATTCCTAAGAGGACACCTCAGAGTATGTGGATGAAGGCAAAGGACTGTGGGTGGGCCCACGTGGTCTAAGGCAGCAGGATCCTATGGCAGGAACACTGTTGCCAGGAGACCACGTGGGACGCTGTTGCCTGGAGACCATGTGGGACTCGGTTGCCTGGAAATCCAGGGGGCCAGCAGCAGGCCATCCACCTGAGGGTATAGAGAAAAGCCAGTCAGGACCTGCAGCACCAAGGTCATGGCGGGACGCCAGAAGGAGAAGGAGGCCCCAGATGAGGTCCGCCAGAACACGATCTTGCGGGAAGTCTATGTCAAAGAGCGTGACACCCAGAAACTGTACACGCAGTATCACGTGAATCCCTTCAGCAAGGGTGAGGAGTGGCGGGATAGGGAGAGGAAGAGCTGAAGGGCAGCTCCAAGGAGGGGACCTGAGGTCTGTGAGCTGTAGTGGGCGTCCCAGGGAAAGAGAAGAGCTTCCCTCACATTGCACCACCAGACCTCAGACACAAGAATTAGGATAGGGCTTGCCTACTTGGCTTCAAACATTGGGTATATTAGAAGGCACTCACGTGGCAATATGTATTTTAATTAAACAAAAAAGATTAAACAACTTTACAATTTGGTTGGTTTTTAATGAGATAAAGATTTATTTTCATGCTTCACATGTGGTCTAGGAAGTTCAGAAGACATGATTCTGGGACCACAGTGCTCCCCTGAGAAAACAACCCTGCCTTCCACACTTGTCACCACACACTCCTTGGGGGTTTCATCTGAGCCTGTCACATCAGCGATTCTTAATGTTTCTTGCCCTCGAATAGAGTTTCAGACCCTACCACACAATCCCCTCCAAGCTGACTTCCCTGCATCACCCACAGGAACATCAGACTCGAGAGGTAGAAAGCTGGGCTCATCTGCACTTTCTGCGCCACTCAACACCACTCCAGAACATCCTGTCTCAGCAAGAGGCACCAAAGTCATTTATTCTCCAAGTTCAAAGCCTGGGAGCCATCCTCAAAGTCTGTCTCCCTCCTTCCTCCAAATAATTAGGCACAAATCCTCCTTTGCATTATTCTCACCTGACCCACCTGCTCCTACCTCAGTGAAAGATACCTTTATGCACATGGTGGCTTCTCCCTCTCTGCTAACATAATCCCCCCCCACACAAGTAGCACCTCAGTGAGCCTCTATATCCACCCTCACTGGGGAAACCTCAGAAGGAACCTAGTGACTGTTGCCTGGATTGGCTGATGGGCTCCCAACTATCCTTCTCCCCTCCAAGCCAGCTAGAACTATGCTGAAGGCAAACTGGATCAGTTCAGTTCCTCCGTAAATTCTTCAGTAGCTCCACAGCTTCTGAGATAAAGTTTAAACCATGCAGCATATGAATCCTCTCCCCAGGTTAAATCCATCACCCCATGACCCCTGAAGCCATGTGCCATTAAGAAGGATTTTGTAGCCTACTCTGGAACCGGCCACTGCTCAAGGATCCCACACAGGATCCTTTCTCTCTAGTCACTTTAAAGTAAATGGATTTTTTGAAATGAAACTTTCCATTTCCTCCACCTTACTGACAGAAACCTTATTCCTTCTTCCTGAACTTACTCCCCAACTCCTATGCCTACTTAACTGCATGGTGCAGTTCTGTAGTCTGATTATATCTGATAACACATATGGAGAAAATGCAGTGTCTTCATTTTAGTCATAACTAACCTGCTTTTACTCTGGATCCCTTAATATTGAATCAGATAAATTAATGTTCAATTCTGTTCAAACTTTTGTCTACTTGCAGAATCATTTCAGGCAACATTGAGATGTTCTAGAAAAAGTGCTGTCTCCCAGCTCACTGATTTTAGGCACATGCCCATTGAAGTACAGTGAGAAAATATTAGTTCTTGCACTGTTGTTTCTTTTTACCTGGAAAGAGAAAAAGTATGTTATCCTAATAATATGACAATAGAGACTATGTACACATAGTGTACACACATAGAGACACACATCTATGAGGGCTTCATGTTGCAAAGCTATTTCAGTGCTGGGAGTTTGGTATGATCAGTTTGGACTCCATTGATTTCTAATGACCTCTGCTCATTTCATACCAGTCTCCACCTAGCTTCTGCCACTGGACCACTTAGGCTTTCTTGATGTTTCTCAAACTCTCCAAGCTTCAACTGAGTTCTCCCATATACACTCACACAGCATACTTCAATGATCAAGATTCTGCTCATTGTATCTGTTTAGATATGCATCCCCCTGCACAAGCCCATCAAAGCTCTACCCACTTTTCCTGCTTTACTGTTCTTTATCACACTTAAGTGCCAGGTGTCATGTCTGTTTATCATCTGTCACCACAAATAGAATGAATATTAGGGAACACAGGAAGCTTTTCTGTCTTGCTTACAGCCTCCTCTCCTGTACATGTATAATTCTGAGCTGAGTGGTGACTGTCAATTCTGCTCCACTGTCATCAGAGGCCCTCCTGAGGACACTTACTGTATGGGCAACCTCTATTGGTTGCTTGGTATGCTTACCTTCCCTCTACATGAGGCCTGTTGCAGAGAGCACCTGTCAATGGGGAATGCGTGTATCAGTGCCTTGACACAGGTGTGGCAGTTGCACACCTGAAATGTAATGACTGGTGAGAGTAAGGAACAATTTTTCATTGTATTTCATATTACACATTCAAATTCACATATGCACATGCAGCTGGTGGCCAACATACTAGACAATGCCACTCTATATTCTAGGTTCCTGAGACCATCACTCAACATTGCCCCTGGCACTAAGCACAACGCCTGGCATGTGCCAGATGCTTAGTAAGTGCCAAGTGGACATACAGCCAAAAAGGTGTCTTAGAGAAGGCAAGGAGTTCATGTCTTAATGTTGAAACTGTGATGCTGTTTTTCTCTAGTTCACCTGATTACCAGAAAGCCCATGTCCTGGCATGATAACCTGGAGGAACCTGTAGATGGTAAGTCCTAGGCCTTCAGAATTACATTGAGCTAGAGCACAGAGGCTAAATGGCCTCTGTAGTCACTCTCCCACAAATTTGAGGAATGCAAGGTGCTCACTTGGGGTAATAAGGAACCTAACAGGGAATGGATGGACATCAGTCAGCCCTTGCTGTCTGCCTTATGTTAGGGACATGACTAGCTCACTTCCTGACTGCTGAGTCCCCTTTCTGAGGTAAATGTTTTCTGCTCATTTTGCAGATGAGAACAGTAAGGCCCAGAGTTATGAGGCCACCTGGCAGGCTAGTAGTGACACCAATCCAAAGCCCAAGTTCATCCCATTGTGCATCTGACTTTCTCTCTGGAGACTTGAAGGGATGAAGATTGTGGAGCTGCAGATACGTCTGGTGTCAGCAGGCACACTCATTTCAGTAGAGGATAAGACCTCCCTGATCCTCACCTTCTCCCTCACTCTCTGTCAGGCTCCACTAGTTACACTCACTCATGTCCTGGGGTCTTTGCTCTCTCTGCTTGCTTTGTGCTTTTCCTCTACCTTGTCCCAGGCCTGACCCTGAAGTAGCTGCTTTTCTCAGGTCCTTGCCCACACCTTCCTCATGGCAAGTGTTCCAGCCTGCCACTGTCATGTCTATTCATGACCCTAGATGTTTTATCCTATCCCTCAATCAGACTATGAGCTCTAGGAGAGCATAAAGCACATCTACCTCACTCAGTCCTCCCCACAGGGCCCAGAACAGTGCCTGACAAAGCTTCAGTGTTCACCCCATTGTGACTAAAAACTGAGGAGAGGGATCTCCTGTGTCAGAGCCCAGGCAAGCTTCAGAGGCTGGATGCTCTTCCCTGAGAAATGATGCAGCCAGATTAAAGGGCACAGAGTCCACCCAGATGTCCCAGATCCTGAGTCCTCCATAACTCTGACCTCATCTCCCAGGCAGGTTTCTGGATCTTATGCACCATGCCACCCAGCAACCAAAGATGAAATACCCAGAGACACAGACTGAAAGCCAGGAGTACGGATGGGACTCAGAGCCCTTGGTAAGTGTGGCTCCTGTCCTCAACAAACACCAAAGATCAGGGACAGCATTGGTAGTGGTCACAATGAACACAGTAAGGAGGCTGACATTCCTGGTTTCAGTTCTGGCTACCACTCACTAGCTGTGGGCCCCTGGCAAGTTTCTAAGCTCTTGTATGACTTCACTTCCTCCCAGAGGAGATAGTACAGCACTGATCTTTTTAGATGATGCTGATTTTAAGAGAGAGGGTATCTGTGCAGTGCTCAGAGCAGAACCTGGTACAGAGGGAATAATGTTCAGTGTTGGTTAAATAAAGGCAACTGATGGCAGATGTTCGAGTCTGGTCCTTTTGTGACCAGGAGGATTGGCTTGGCACATCACTTACATCTGTAAGTTCAGCTCTCTCGTCTGTAAGTGGGAATCATAGAAACAGTGCTCTCCTAGTTTGATTGAAAGGATACAGCTAGTTTCCAGGGAGCCCAGGAAATGTAGTCTTTAGCACTGAACCATGCTAATTGAGAAACAGCTTTCATTAAAGAATAAGCAGATATCAGAGAACACAACTTGAAGACCTTTCTACCACCACTTTTTTTCTAGCTACGTACAGTTTAATCCAGGAGAGAACATTTGTCAGGGGAAAAGGAGGGTTGTGAAGGAAGGAAAATCTGAGTGAAGATAGAAATCACCCCACCTGGATGACTAAGCAACTTAGAAAAATAGCCCAAAGCACAAGTAAATTAAGACACTGGTCTTTATTTCTCTGAAGACCTGACTCAAAAATGTGCCATTTGTGGGTGTGGACCTTTACTGGCAGCTCACCAGGATGGGAAGGGTAATCGCAGCTGGCCCTACTGGCCCTGCCCTGCTCACATCCCCCTTAGCCTTTGCAGATCACACACTGCATGTAACCTCAGCTCAGTTCTCACTGTGGAGGTGCAAAGGTCCTGCACATACTCCATGTTCCCCATCATTGTAAACCTGGAGCATGTACCCAGGTAGGGTTGCTGGCACAGTAATAAATGGAGCTGGAGTCTCAGGGTGACATTGTTGGGGGCAGAAGAGGCTTTATAAGCCCAATACAAGGCTCCCAGCTACCTAGCAGGAGAGGCAGAGTGCTTGACCCTTCAATGCTGGCCCAGGGGAAGCCACAGTCAATGAGAACATCTCAACCTCTTTGTCTCCTGGTGACATTTGCAATTAATTGCACAGAGTAGATTGTATGAGTCTTATATAGTAGTGCTCACTTTTCCTCAGGATTCTGGAACCCTTTCCACATACTCAGTCATTGTTTAGAAATTATATGTGAGAGGCCTGGTGAGCACTGCATGATGCTCCAGTAGCTGGGGACTCACTTGGCAGACACAGTCCCTCCCCTGACAAAGATCACCTTCCAGTAAGAGAACAAGCCCCCATTGTGGCCTCCAGTTAAGGAAGTAGGGTAGAGAGTGCAGTCACATGTCCCAGCTCTTGTCCTTCAGGCTCACAACCCTGTTCATGTGAATACTGTCAGCTCTATTTCCCAGCATAGACACATACTGGTGTTTTAAGAAAATGTTTAGAACATTGCCTTCTTTAAGCCAAAGTTCATGGTCTCCAAACCCAGTTCTGTTCACTTTCCCAGATGGGATTTTTCTGATCCTGGATCCTCCTCTCTAGGTCAACCCAGAACGCCAGGACCACAGGCTGAACCACTTCCAGGTCTACAAGGACATCACTCTGTATAAGGCTAAAATGTGGAGCCTGGGAGAAGATGATCGCCACAAGTAGCCTCCTAGCAGTGCTGTCTTCCCTGTATATGATGTGCAAAGTGTGCACTGCACAGGGAAATAAACATTACTTTATTGTTGTTGTTGTTGTTTTATTATTTTTTATTAAATCATAACTGTGTACATTACTGCATTTATGAGGTACAATGTGCTGACTTTATATACAATTTGGAATGTTTACATCAAACTGGTTAACATAGCCTTTACTTCATTTAATTGTTGTGTTAAGACATTTATACTCTACTCTTAATATATTTGACATGTGCCCTGGTAATATGACCTCACCTATTGTGCATATAAACATTAGTTTAAATCAGAGTCTAACATATCCTGTCTAGAGTATCACTTTTTTCAATTATTCCAAAGTCCACTGGTTCTAATCCTTATCTTTTAAACTAATGTGAGAACTCCAGGGTCTGACAGCAGCACAGATTTTCAAATAGAGGTCATAGTAAATATTTTTTGTGCTCTGAAACATGACCTCTATTATCAATGTTTTGCCAGTTTAAATTAGTTTACCAAAACTAAATTCATTTTTAGTTCAAGAATCTCAATATGATATGAAACTAGATATGTCTTTTTTATTTATTAATGATGCTACTAGAAAGAACAAAATGTGAACATCAATTATTTTTTCTGGTTACAAAAAGTTACTTCTACCTTCCTTAAAAGTAAAGTATTTTAACCAGGAATCGAGAGGGGAGGCCTGGTTAACTGATTTAACACCTATCAACACAGATTGAAGAACTGAATTTAATGTGCTTGCTCACCCATGCACCACCTGCACATAGTGTCCAGCTAGTTATCTTAGTAACTCTCAGGGACAGTCAAGGCTCATGAGACTTTAAGAAAAGCCACCCCAGGATAATAATCCTAAGTGAAAGAATATGAGAGGATCATTAGATATGGGATTATCAGATTATATTATACCATGGAATACTATGTAGCCATAACAAAAAATGGAGAATTTACATCCTTCATGTTTACATGGATGGAGCTGGAAAATGTTCTTCTTAGCAAAGTGTCACAAGAACGGAAGAAAAAGTATCCAATGTATATAGCCCTATTATGAAATTAATTTATAGCTTTCATATGAAAACTATGACCTAATTATAGCCTAAGAATATGGAGAGGAGGAGGGAGAGGGAAGGGTGATGGGAGGGATCACTTCTATGGTTTATCTTACAAGAGTACAAGTGAATCTTTCTAAGAGTAGAATATAAATGTCTTAACATGATAACTAAGAAAATGACATAAAGGCTATGTTAACCACTTTGATGAAAATATTTAAAATTGTGTATGAAAACACCACACTGTACCCCATGATTGCATTAATGTACACAGCTATCACTTAATAAAATAAATATTATGTATAAGCAAGGGAATGTTCTAAACATTTTCTATATATTACCTCTATGCTGACAGGAACCCAATCAGGTAGATACTATGTCTACTATGTCTTTACTTATCCAACTAGATGACAAAGCATGCAAAATTTAATCTTAGCATCAAACATCAGGTAACAGAGCCAGGCACCCAAATCCATAAAAAAGGGAGATCAAGATACATGGGCCAAGGAACCAGAATGAAGGGAACAGAAGAAAATATGCAACAAATAACACAATAATTCATATCCTGAGAGTTATAAGATATTCCCTTTAGAAAATAAAATAAAATTATATGAAAAAGAACCAGTGAGAGAATGAAGAAGAATTGGAATGTAAAATGAAATTATAACTAAATAGTGAATGAAATTCTTAGAAAAAGAACCTAAGAAATCTTTTCCCCAAAGTAAAACTACACATTTAGAATTTAATCAGTAGAAGAGGCTGAACATGTGACTAACAAAAAGTGCAGAATTAGAGCAACAATTTGGGGCTGGGAAGCTTATTACATAAAATATCCCAGAATGGAGACCGTGAGTCCTTCCAAATACTCTAATCCAATAATGAAACATGTCCACAAAAAGGCTTGTCTCCACAGCATATCAGATGTGCATGAAGAAGAAAGGCTTCCAGAGAGAAGGAGAGAGCAAATGTTCCACTGATTTCTCAGTGGAACACAGGAGGCTCCAAGACAAAGTAGCTTATGCCTGCCACAACCTGTGGGAAAAGTACTACAGCCCTATTAAAGGCACTTCAGAAATGCAAGCAAACAAAATCTTGGCCTCTCATTTTCCTTTCTATTAGGAAGAAACTAGAAAATGAAACATAACAAAAGAAGCATAAAACAAGAATGAAACAGGATCCCTATCTCTCAACAACTGGAAAAATTAGTTCAAAATGGATAACGACTTCACTGTAAGTCATGAACCCAACAATTTCAGAAGAAAATACAGTAAAAATTCTTAAGACATTGACCTAAGCAAAGAATTTATCACTGAAACACCCAAAGACAATTACAGTAATAATAAAAACAGTTAAACAGGATTTATTTAAACTACCATTAATTTATTTAATTAAACTACCAAGCTTCTGCACAGCAAAGGAAATAATCAAAAGAGCAAATGGACGACATACATATGGAAGAAAATATTCACAAGCTATACATGTGACAAAGGGCTAATATTCACAATCTATAAAAAACTCAAGCAAATCAGCAGAAAAAGCAACCCCATGAAAATGTGGGCAAAGACACGAATGTAAACTTTTTAAAAGAAGATAGAGAAGTGGCCAAGAAGCATATAAAAAACTGTCCAATATCACTAATGATTAGGGAAATGCAAATGAAAACCACAATGGTATGTCACCTTACCCCTCTTAGAATTACTTTCATTAAAAACTACAATAACATGCTCTTTTGATCACTATAGATTTACAGTATAATCTAAAGTCTGGTAGCGTGATTCCTCCTGCTTTTTTTTATTTCTGAGTAATGTCTTGGCTAATTGATGCCTTTTCTGATTTCATATAAAATGAAGTATTATTTTTTTACAGATCTTTAAAGTATGACAATGGTGCTTTAATGGGGATTGCATTAAAATTGCATATTGCTTTGGGTAGTATAGACATTTTAACAATATTGATTCTTCCCATCCATGAGCATGGTATGTTTTTCCATTTTTTAACATCTTCAGCTATTTCTTTTCTCAGTTTCATAGTTCTCTTTGTAGATATCTTTCAAGTTCTTTGTTAGGTAAACTCCCAAATATTTAATTTTCTTTGGCACTACTATAAAAGGAATAGAGTCGTTGACTGTTTTTTCAGCTTGACTATTGTTGGTATATATAAATACTACTGATTTGAGTATTGAGTATTGAGTATTGATTTTGTAACCTGAGATGCTTCTGTATTCCTAGATTACTTCTAAGAGTTTTATAGCTGAGTCCCTGGGGTATTCCAGATATACAATCATATCATCTGCGAACTCATGAATGGATTAATAAATTGTGGTATATGTACACCATGCAATATTATGCAGCCTTAAAAAAAGATGGAGACTCTACCTCTTTTATGTGTACATGGATGGAGCTGGAACATATTCTTCTTAGTAAAGTATCCCAAGACTGGAATAAAAAGTATACAATGTACTCGGCTCTACTACGAAACCAATATATAATCACCCACACTTCCATATGAAAGCTATAACCCAAGTATAAGTCAAAGATGAAGGGGAAAGAGGAGGAGGTGGGGGAGAGGATAGGTGGAGGGAGGGTAATTGGTCAGAACACTCCTATGGTGCATTTTACAAGGGTACATGTCAAATCTACTAAGTGTAGAGTATAAACGTCTTAACACAATAATTAAGAAAGTGTGGTGAAGGCAATGTTAACCAGTTTTTTGTAAGTATTTCAAATTGCATACAAAACCAGCACGTTGTACCATATAAATGCATTATTGTACACAGCTATGATTTAATTTAAAAAAAGAAAACAAAAATCTACAACAACAATAGATGCTGTGGTGGATGCAGCAAGAAAGGAATGCTTATACATTGTTGGTGGGACTGCCAATTAGTACAATCTCTATGGAAAACAGTATGGATATTCCTCAAATAAATAAATATAAACTTACCATTCAACTCAGCAATCCCACCACTGGGATATCTACCTAAAGGGAAAGAAGTCATTTTATCAAAGCATATCTGTCCTCCACATATTTATTATACCACAATTCACAAAAACAGAAATGGGGAATTCAACCTCAGTGCAGTTTATGAATGGATTAACATAATTATATACCCCATGGAATACTACTCATTCACACAAATGGATAAATTTTTTTTCAACAATATGGATGGAAGTGCAGATCAGTATCCTAAATGAAATGTCTCATGAATTGAAAAATAAATATCACATGTATTCTTATAATTTGGAACTAGTGAACAGGTGCACATGCACACAGAGAGTCACTGCATATCAAGAAGGGTGAGGGAGGAAGGAAGGGTAAAAACCTACCTCTCAGGTACAATGAGCACTATTCAGGTGATGGACACACTAATTGCCTTAAATTAAGCATTAACAACACTATCCATGTAATGAAAACATTTGTACCCTTTTCATATTTGGAAAGAAAAAAGAGGCATAAGCTAAGAAATTAAAATGTGGATATAGGAATCAATCGAGCCAACCTAGAAAGTGTAGAAAAGAAACCATGGGACAGTGTGAAATAGACAAAAGATGTAGGTGACAAATTATAGGTGGATCAAATGACAAAGCATATGAAATCAACTGAGGATATAATACAAGGAAAGTTTGGCAAGCAGAAACATGTAAGTTAATTATTTACTCAAGGAAAGGATGCAACACAAAGGAAATCTTATCTCAATTGATCTAACTTTACGAAGATTGATAGTTGCCTAAATGTTTGGAAGAGGAAGAGGAATAAATTGATGTATAATTTATATCTACATTTATCAAAGACAGAAGACAACTTTGACTCAATGTCTAAATTTATATCCATAAATAGCAATATTATTCAATATACAGATTCACTTCTAAACCACTTCGTCTTGAGTTTCTAACTGAAGACCTGTGTTTCTTTGATAATTTTACTTTTGTTT